ATTTAATGCTCCTATAACTTTTATTAGGGTAAAAAAAAAACAGGAGGACATGATGATATTTGCTATTTTTACATACCAGAGGCTTTTAAATGAATTGTGAATCTAAAATATGCGTGTTAGAGAATTTACAAATGGTTAAAGGGGTCATATGATGCTATTTTAAAGATCATATTTTTTGTATTTGGTGTAACAGAATATGCTGACATGCTTTAATGTTCAAAAAACACATTATTGTAGGTTCTCTATGCCCCGCCTCTCTCAAACGCTTCGTTTTCTACAAAGCCCCCTCCTTTGAAGGTAGGTGTGGCTGACTCTTAACTTTTATAAAGAATATCTCTTTGGATTTGAGACTTTAGTCTTTGCAACTTTACAGATCTTCTTTATGCACCAAGAGCTTGTAACACTCCAAAGAGAAAGGAAAACTTGAAATCGCATCATATGACCCCTTTAACATTGTTTGTCATATCAGTCAGAAAAGCAGTTGAGAGTCACATTATCTTCAGGAAATACACAGTATTTTAATGTAATTTTTACTAAGTGAGAGTTAGAGAAGGTATCAGGAAAAAACCTGATATGAGGGTGAGTAAACTATTAATTTTTATGTTAAAAAACACAAATTATATAATTCTAATATATGATTAAACTTTGTACACTTTCAATATAGCTTGACTATTTTACAACAACTTCTTGTAATTGTGGCACATCCAATCCAATGATATGGCACATCCAGTCAGAAAAGGCTAGAATTATATGTTTTATAATATTAGTCTTACTGATTTTTCTCTCTCTTTAAATTTCACTTATTTTCCTAATGGAAATTTCCAAACAGAAAGAGAAAATGATCAAATTAGACGAAGTGCTTTTCATCTGTAAAATATTTAATTCACTGGATTATCCAAAAACAGGGATTAACACATGGTCATGTAATATAAACATTTTGTTAACTATATTGTAATATACACAGTTGCCTTGATATAAAATTACTTGTGATATAGGATACTGGTCATACCACCTAGCCCTACAATGACCTTTACTGAAATACCATGGTATTACCCTCTGATACCATCACTGCACCACAGTACTTTTTGCAGAAGCAGAGAGTAGGTGCACATATACATTGCGAGTCATCTAAACACACAGAGATTAAATATTTAAGGTATTATGTGATGACACAACACAGTGCTGTCTGGAGCCCTCAGGGTGTTTAGGGACCAAGTCCAGTCTTGACCAATCAATTACACTGGAATGCAGATGAGCATCAGTATTCACTCATTCATCTATACTGCACACAGAAACATTCAGAGTTTACAAATCGAGCTGTTTTTCCAGATCACCATTACTTTCGCCATGCAGTGCAATAAAACAGAAGATGTAACGTTACCACGATCTGACCCCAATATCAAATCATACTGTAAAACACTGTCAGCAGATCCGCACTAAACCCCGCGCATTTTTGTTTTTCATCTAGCTGTTGACATGGTGAGAGAGAAAACACCCTTAAGTCCAAACCCAGCTGACACGAATCATAAACGCACCGATGACAGATTGATGTTGACAGCAGCTTTTCCCCTCTGGACTGCATTTACTGCACAGCTAACACAGCGGCTAGCCATGTCTACAACACATCTGCTCACAGTCTGATACAAAACTACTCACATCTATCGCATTCTTCAGCGGCACATCTTCAGAGAGCTGAGCTCACGAGCAGGTGAAGCGGTCATCTACACGAACATCCCCTGAAATATCAGCTGATCCACCGTGGCTAGCAGCAAATCTAGCCAGACTGCTGCTGTACACTGGTGTCGCTTCTAGGAAGTTCCGGGCGGAAACAGCGTAACCTTCTACTGACGGTCAACACGTAACGGTGCTGCGAGTTCAACGTCCGTGTTTATAAGTGTTTATTCTTGTAATTGTTACAAATATGTATCCAACAACCTTGCTATTTACAAATCGTATACATTTATACATTTAAAACACATGCGACAACTTGCGGAAACTGAAATCTGGCAACTTGCCCCCATATTTATGAAAAATACCTTTCAGTAGGCAATCCTTCTGTGTAGGTGACTCCTCCGTGAATGGTTGTTAGTCTGTTGTGTTTACTTATTAAAAAGCAAAAAGCACGATGATATTAGATGGTCTTTTGTTTTGGGGAACAACAATTATAAAATAAATAAAATAAAACTGTAATTTAACAGTGAATTGAGGTGATGATTTAAAAAGTGTTACACATTAAGAGATTATATACAACTATATGTGACCCTGGACCACAAAACCAGTCATAAGGGTTAATTTTTTGAAATAGAGATTTATACATCACCTGAAAGCTGAATAAATAAGCTTTCCATTGATGTATGCTTTTTATGATATGACAATATTTGGCCGAGATACAACTATTTGAAAATCTTGAATCTGAGGGTGCAAAAAAATCTTAATATTGAGAAAATCGGCTTTAAAGTTGTCGAAATAAAGTCCTTAGCAATGCATATTACTAATCAAAAATTAAGTTTTGATATATGTACGGTAGGAAATTTACAAAATATCTTCATGGAACATGATCTTTACTTAGTATACTAATGATTTTTGCCATAAAAGAAAAATCGATAATTTTGACACAAGGTATTGTTGGCTATTGCTACAAATATACCCATGCTACTTATGACTTATACTTATGTGGTCCAGGGTCATATATTATCTTTAAAAAATATTAAATAAAAAAATAAACAACAATTTAAATAACAGTGTTTTTAACATTTTTTATTATTTCTAATGCGTTTTTGTACATTTCACTCTAAAAAAAAAAAAAAAAAGTTAAAACAAATATAAACTAAGATTGGCTTTAATGGAATGCTTTTTTTCTTTTCATTTTTTTTTTCTTTTCCATTTTAACCTCCTCTTGTAATTTGGCAATCAAAGGTCATCTGCGGGCCCTGGTTTGGGCATCATAGCTTTTTCTACTGGAGCTGGTGCTGGAGAACCCTCCATGTCACCAACATATGACCAGAATCACTTGTTATCTCCTGCAGAAGGAAAACGGTGGTCTCTTCTGCTGAACTGACATATTTAATTGCTGTTGCTAATGTTGTTAATTTACCTGAACTCCGATGGCTTTTAAAAATGGTGCCTTTTAAACTGCGGCCTGTGGTAGAAGTTCCGCTAGCTGATGTTCCCTTGATCAAGACCAGCAAGGTTTCATGACGGTTCGGAACCAGGATCTGGGCACTGGCCTAGGCATTTTTTGTATTTTTTTGAGTGAAACGCTCAGCCTGGTTCCGGCACCAGCCACAGTGGAAAAGCAGTATGTGTCATAGAGAATCTTCAAGCTGATCCACGTCGATAGATGGCAGTGCAGCGTCTATCATCTGTGACATCAAAGTAACTGGAATCTTACTTGAAAACTTTTACTGTGCTATTGCCCTTGTCACAACTTCCCTAGTCTCCCCACCCCATAAATATAATAGATGTATTATATTTATATACGTGTTCAAAAAGGAAAATAAAATGCATTTCCTGATATGTATTTCAGCTGGTAACTCACTGTTATAAAAAATGTATTGTAAACTATAATAATAGATAGCCTATAAAATATACAGTAGCTACATTTTATTAAATGCATTTACATTCAATGATTTTTCATTTGATCTTTCATAATTTGCATGTTTATTTTTCCTCATTCACAATCTCAATGGAATAGTAGTCAAAGTGATAATTTGAATACACAAATAACACAAGTACATGACATCTGATATAGCGGGAAAGTTTAACGTAAGCTTCGCATGAATGCTCAGTTCATTTAAAGAGAGACTGAGACATTGACTAATTGTTAGCACTGGTACTGCATTGAAGAAAATCTTCTTGTCTTGTGTTAAGTCTATAAACTCAAACAGGTATAACCTGCGAGGTCCACTTCTGTGTCAGCTTATAACTGTTGGCTTTACTTTTGCCCTTTCATCATGACTGCTCTTTGTTACTTCTGTTAACCCTCAGGTGCGTCAGTCTGGTTGATCCAGTTTAACCTGTAAACTTGTATAACTAATAGGTCACTTCAGACAGACAAACATGCATACCTCACTGAAGAAGTCTTGTATTATCCCTTAATCACAAGAAAACTGCCATGAACACATGATTCCTATCTTCCTCTGAGTCAGGTTACAACTATTTGTTCAATTCTCAGCCAATTTTCACATGTATTAATGATTTTGAAGACAGTTTTATGCCTTATCTTGATTTCCACTTTTTCCACTTCTTTGCAGATTGTAGGCTAAATTGTACATTTTGAATTCTTCTTTTTGTAATTAAAACTAAAACTTATATATATATATATAAAGACTTTATTCTTATTTTGTGGAAGAAAAAAAATGTATGTGGTGGAAAGTTGTTGATATTTTGAACTCATTGCAGTGCTGTGTTATGTGTAAAATCCACCATTATATTATGTCAAAATACAGTTGTTTTAAATAGTTATTATTTTACACACAGCCACGTATGACACCCAAAACCTAAATTTCACACAAAACAATGGTTTGTAACCTCTTTTGACCTTAAAAGACTATTTATCTGATTGACAACACACTCCAAATGAAGCAGCATCCAGACACAAATGAACAGACGATATTTGTTATTTCATCAGAACACAACTTTAATCATTTTAGCAGTATAATCATACCTTCGAAAAGATCATAACTTGTGAGATTGTTTTATAAATTATTTCATCAAAGTTGCTTGTAAAAAATTAAATAGGTTACTGAACTAAATCATCTATAATATTACAATATACCGGTAGTATATAATTTTTTTTTTTTTCAGTAGTCATAGTCATAATGTTATCTCTATATGCCTTTAAACCTTTATCTTTTTTCTTAAAGTCATTGCTTTGCACATACCATCACACACAGCATCACAGCCTGCATGTGCCGAGGTTGTGACCAAGAGGACAGTTCATGTGATGAAACCACTCCACTCTCAGTATCCATCTCAGCACAAACCGCCCAATGATCTCTGACACTTACAAAAGAGGATTTAAAAAAGGACACCAACTCAGAACAGAAGGAAACCTCCAAATCAAACAGAGACACACATTGTTTAGCATTCTCGTAACGTATTTACAACAGAAAAACAACTGAGGTCGAGGGCTGCATAGGTCCACAGGATTCAGAAAAGAAAGTATTTCTGCTTGCTAAGTGGAATACTACTTACACAACTGGATCAGTACTTGGAAATGACCATAAAACATGTGCAAGCATAAAATACATCTTATAGTAGGTTTGGTGGTGTTTAGCGATATTAGCAGGCATCTGTTACATTCAATCTCGTTGGTCGCTGAGACAAACTGTATGGTGATTGAATCCCAACAAACACAGAGAAACATGATATAAACGTGACAAATCTGAGCAACCACGACGCCGCTCTCATTTTAGGAATATGTTTTAGTAGTCAACACTTTGCTGTGAATGGTGTTGTCTGAAGTACATTTGGTGACCGATTCAACATGTTGCATTAGACCAAATATTTACGAGGCAAACCGAATGATTATATTGACATGAGTGTTGCAACTGATGGAACTCGAATCCTTCCTGACTTGTAGAGCGTCGCCAAGTATATATACAAAGGATTGCCCAGTGAACAAGCATGTATGTGTGTACGCTTGTCTTGCTGTAACAAACATCCAGAACTTCAAAGCAAATGAATAATAGTGCTACGCTACTGTCATTAGCCCACCTCTCTCTAACTCATCTCTTCCTTCACTGTCAGGCCCAGCTGGAGAGGCAGAATTAGTTTTGTTTGGAGATGAACCGAGGGAATCATTTCTGATCCTTCTGCTGTTCCAGAGCAGGTGGTCCGAGCTGAATGTCCAGGGTTATAAACCAACTAATAAGCTCTCGAGAGGGTATACTGTATCTCTCAGTGCTTTCCTCTAATTATTCATTAGCGAAGTCCTCAGCACAGCAAGCCGGACTGCCATTAAACATCTCAAATGGGCCCATTGTGCCTTGTCATATGGTCAAAATTTCCTGGTCAGGCTATCATCATAAGCGTGGCATAGCACTGTGTACATATAGCACTAGTTATGGTGTTTCTGGAAACATATTGGTTTAATATGAAATAGATTAATGTATTAATAAAAACAAAAACAAAAAATAAATGACCAATATTTTTTTTTCTAGATAGGAGAAATGACAAGATGGGCCTAAAGGCAACAAGTCAGAGCTGTATGGGTAAGGATATTAAAAGTCATCATAATCAGATATGTTTGATAAAACTCAGCTTGCCCAAATTCACAAACCCTGAACAGCCAAGAATTAGTGGTTTGAGTACATTTAGTTGAAAATTCTGAAATTTAAAAACAGTGGAATAAAAGGAGCTTCTCTCCCAGCATTTGACCGTTCAGGTTAAATGCATTTTTTATCAGCTGAACTGAACTGCATTAGCAGTCTATTTCAGAAAACAAAAAATCACTTTGTGCTTCTGACACCTCAAAAGGTCACCGCTAATGGTAGTTTAAACAGCAAAAGGGCAAATGGATTGATTTGTTCTCTTAAAATCCAAGTTATTAAATTGGCAGAGTCAGTATTCAGTGTTTAATGGTATTGCATGTGAAGGTAATACATATTAAGAGAAAATCAGCTTTTTTAAATGTATTCTAAAGGCGCGGTCACATTGGCAAAACTTAAGCGAATTTCCAAACTAAGCAGCTTAATATTGGCAAATGCGATGAATTTGCATGTTCAAAGTTGAATAATTCTGAATCCGATGCGAAATTTGCAATTCATTTGAGAAGGGTCTGGCTGCAGACTTGCA